ATTGGCACGTTAGCTACCAAAAAACAAGATAGCAAGTATAAATAAACATTTGCGACAAATAGTGAATACACATGCAGAGTACATTTAATTTGCACAAAGCAGAATTTTTACTGGTAGGTAGGAACCTATCCAAAAAGGAACCTCTGTTATTAAAAGCACGGTTAAGTGTAAAATAAGACCTCCTATATATTTTCTGTGTTTTTTCATCATGGCTTCTGCAGATGCATAAAAGGTTTATTAATTTTTAAATATGACATAGTTAAATAGCTGAAAAGAGACTTGCATACTTGCGAACAAGTTCAGCCTTCCACACATATGTTTTTGCTGTTGATTCAAAAGAAGGCAAGAAACCCATTCTGAAGCACTTCCAATTGTGCATCAAACTTGGAAGAAATACCTTCTTGAACTCAAAATGTCAGTCAAACATCTCCTTGGATCAAGCAACTATTACCCCACTAATTAGAAATGATATCCCTATATGTTATGTTCTTGCAAGTATTTATCCAATTGCTGTTTAAACATCTGTATAGACTCTGATAAAACCATCTCTTAAGGCAGAGAATTCCACATCCTTATAGTTCTTACTGTATAAAATCCTTTCCTTTGCCTAAGATTAAATCTCCTTTCTTCCATCCTAAATGCGTCTGTGACAGATCTCTCTGTCTTGAACTTGCAGAGACTTATTCTTCATTCGCTAGTTTAATTCGTGTTTCCCCGTTCATGTGGACTCTATACCGTTCCCCTTTTTACTACCGAATAAAACTCCCGAATGGCCGGCCACCCAGTAGGAAAGTGTGCTGCTGGTTAACCTCCTGGCCCCATTAGAACATTGAGGTTAACCACAGACACCTCTTAATTGACGCCTGTATCTGGGTGGCCGCCATTCGTATCCCGAACACAAGGATACGGCCATTTAAATCCACAAACGCTCAGAGGTGTTCGACGGTAAACTCATGGAACTCAAAATGGACAATTTTTGGCCCGAACACCGCTGAAGACGCTGACCTCCCTTCTCCTTCGGTAGAAAACTCACGAAGATCCCTGTATTCTGTATTTTGTCCGCGAATAAGCCATACCCCAGATAGTCATCCCATGGAGGCTATTCGGTACTTTTGTGCGCTCAGATTCAAGCTATCTGGGGACACGTTGAATGCCTGTATTAAGTTATTGTAAAGTTATATATTTTTATGCATTTTGTTATAGTCACTTAAAATGGCGTTTGGTCTTTGTCCAGGGAGATAATTTAATTACTTCACAATTATCTCCCGGGCAGAGCAGAGAGTCTTGGGTAATTAAAGGGGTATGGCTACATGTGTAACTCTGTGATTGGTTGTTGTAATATCCTTGTCACAGTCTCCCATTTGGTCCCCTATGGGAGTGTCCACCAAGTTGGAGACCTGCATAAATACCGGGCAGGTAGCCCTCAGTAAACCAGATTCCTGCTGAACCTCAATACGGAGCTTTGTCTCGTCATTGGGGGAATTATTCATATGGATTACGCTTGTTCGGCTATTTGGGAGACTGACTGGTTCGTGTGATTGCTGTTTGGCTGTTTGGGAGACTTATTAGTTCGTGTGATTACTGTTCGGCAGTTTGGAGCGCTCAGTGGCTACCTCTGCATTCGGGAAGGGAACGTCCAATACGGCTGTAACCTCTCTCCTACCGGGGGAGCCGTAACAGCGTGGCCTTGTGTCCTATACACCTAGCTCTGTAAGTACTCGTGGGTGAATATTGTCAGGCCCTGGAGCTTTATTTACATTAATTTTCTATATATTTTCTATAGCATCTTGTCTCGAGTCATCCAGTCACAAGTTATATGCAAGTTTTTTGCAGAAATCATTTGCATATCTCTTGCCATAGGATCCTCATTAATATATACTGAAGAAAAATTTATATTTAAAATTTCTGCATTTTCCCTGGTCTTCATTAACTAACAGACTGTAACAGATACCTCCGCCGACGGATGCTCCTAGTGCTTCTCAAGGACCATCAGCACCGCACTTGACACCATAGGCACCGCAGACTCCACAAACCGCCGTAGCTTGGTTGGGATCACGCCGTCTCCTCCCCACCCTGGGAGGGACAACCTCTGGATCCAGGAGGGTATAGTTGGGTCTCTCCTCCAAGAGAGTTTGGCTCGGTCACTCCTCCAAGGGAGTATAGCTGGGCCTCTCCTCCAAGAGATTATAGCTGAAGGGAGCTCTTACAAGAGCTAGCAGTAATATAGCTGGTATAGCTGTTCCCTACAACAAGAGACAAGGTTACAAGTTGAGGGTAAGAAGATCTGGTTTATTGAGTTCAAGGGGCATTTCTTTTATACATTTTTCCCCACAGGGTTACCACCCATGTTGACCTTGTTGGGCACCGAAAACACAAACTTAACAACCAATCATTTACAAAACACAGTTAAACACTCCCATTCATTACTGTAAAATTCCTCCCCTCCGCTTGGGAGATAATTGAGTTAATTTCTGTATCAACTCAATTATCTCCAAGCGAAAAATATTCTTTCTACACAACTCCAAAATTATACATTCAATCCCAATAAAGTAAAATTTTCAGAACCAGCATACTTAGGGGACAAACATATCAAAAAATCATGCCAATTGGTCCATTGGTTCGGGAGATAGCTGGAAGTCCCATTTTGACCGACCGCACGCACATTTTCATGCCCAAAACAGTTCCAGAGATTTGGGTTGTGTGGCCGGTCCATTCACCTTAGTTTAAATACTGTTGAAATTCACGAACAGGAGCCGTTCGTGCAAATAGCAATTTTAATGTGGCACTCGTATTGTCGAACACCGCTCGACTCCATTTGAAATGTTGAAGTTCCAGAGAAGGGAGAAGTTCAGCGGTGTTTGTGCAGTTGCGTATTCGATTTCAGTTCCATGAACTCTACGACCAAACACTGCTGAACACGTTCGACTGAATTAAAATGGCCGCCGCCACATGTTCGTTTGTTGATTGGCGGCCACTTCGACTACTTCGGCACTTCGGCTGTATCTGAAGTGCCAGTTGAAAAGTGCAGATCCTTTCCCATAGGATTTAAAGGGCCAGACACAGTGTCTTAGAATCCAGTCTGCACAAATTTTTAGTTTTTAACAGGCAATACACCCCGGGGCCATAGTCACAAGGCAAAAGACTAGCCATTAGTCCTCTGCAAGCACAAGTGGCGAAGGGCACTTCGTCACACAGACCTATCTCTGTTTCCAGTGTACCTACACTGTCATTTGTAATTGTTTTTTAGAATTCATGTACTCGAAAAAGTTTTGGGGTTTGATTTTGCATTCTTTGGCTATCAATTTCTCATTTTTTAGTTTAGCCACTTTAATTGCCTTTTTGCAAGCATTATTAGCTTCCTTATATCTTCTATAGAATGCCTCTGATTTGTATGATTTAAATGCCCTTTTCTTATTTTTAATCTCTTGTTTTACTTACCTACTGTAACTGTCCGCTTATTACTTTAAATCCTTGTTCAGCACTGACTGCCACAGGCACACCTTTCTGAATTCCTCTTGTTTCCCTGGGGAATGTTTGATAATCAGACCTCCCTCATTCCTCTATTTTGGAGGCAGCATTCAGATGCAAGCAAGCCAGCAGTACCTCGTCGGAAGGCAATTGATACTGAGGTTTTTCTAAAATTTTAAGTTGTACACCTTGGCAAGCGGAGCGAATTACCCTGTAAAAGTGCATGTTAATAAAAGTGTATATGTTCTTAGACATTAATTGTGTTCAATTAAAAGATATGTTGTATATAAGCCAACATTTGTATAAAAGTACTGTAGTCCAAATATCTGTATAAAGTTAGTATTCCTCAAAGGTTCAATGTAATATCGATGTATGCAGATATCTGAACGCCATATTTGTAATCCTCTTTGTAATCTTGTGTGCAACCCTTTTAGTGAAACTCTGTAAACAAATGTATTTGTATGTTCTATTACAGTTTTCACAGTGCTTATGGTTCACGGTGCTCAACCTTCCTGCACACCTTTGATGCAAAACAATAAAAGTACTGCACCAGTCAGAAGCTCTCCTCTCATTATTTACTTGGTGCCAAAGGGGCCGCTACAGTGAATACTCGACGATGTGAAGACTCGACGCTGCATCTCTGCCATCAACTGCTGTGTTGCCGTCTTTATCAAACTGAGTAAGGGCTTTCCAACACCTCACAGGACAGGTCCGGATGCCATCTTGGCAGCAGAAAATCATCTGAAAAATAAACGTGTCACGTGGACTTGTAAATGTTCTATGTGTGGTCTAGAAGCCACCCTTAATTAATATGCAATCCCAACAACTGAGAATTTGCTAAAGCAGTGAGTAAGTTATTATATTTGATATGAGAGCCTAGTGTTAAGAGGCCTCGTGTCAAATTGTAAGCAACGCTATCTCCTAAGTTCCTAATCCACTAAACTGTTGTTAATTACTTAAAGGGTAAATTGTCTGGTTAGAAAGTATCAGCAGTATATTCGTTTAAAACATTTTGTCGTATTGTATGCATTGTTTTCTAATCTTTACAAGTTACAAGTGTAATGCCTGTTTTCAGTCGTAGTTTTAAATAGCAAGTTTGAGCCAACACTTATCCAAAATTGAGAGCAGACACATACACTTGAAAGGCAAAGGCAAACTAGCACAAAATGTTGTCACCTGCTGAAGAAACAAACAAACCCATACAGTCACAACAGGTGCGGTCCAGCTCCAGAGAGTGAAGCTTAACAGAAAAAGGCCAATAAATGCACAAAGAAACAGTTAAGAAAAATGAGGTAGCAAAAGAAATTAGGACTGAAGACCTTGATACAAGACTGAAAGAGATTAAAGCCAAAGAAGCGTTAGTACACCAACAGTATGAGTCCATTTGGCACAATCATTCCATTACCCCAGATGTTGTTAAGAGAAGGGATGCATGTGTCGCTTTAACAGCTGAAATCTGCGACCTCACCCGTAAACGGCTAGAGAATATAGACGGAATCTTTAATGATTGACTTGAGAAGGAAAGAGTGAGGATGATACTTAATAAAGACGAGTACGAATCAGTCTTTGGAAACACAGAAACAGAAACTGCCTTTTCAGAGTCACTACAAAGCTCAGACTCAAGCTCAAGAGCCACCTTCAGAACTTCTAGCAGGCGAGCAGATGCAGAAGCCAACCTTGCAGCAAAGATAGAGCAGGCAAAGGCAATGCAACAGATGCGCGAGCAACAAGCTAAGCTGAACAAACTGGAGAGTGAATTAAAGCTCAAAGAGGCACAAATGCTTGCAGAAATTAAACTGAAGTTGGATGAGGAAAAGACAAGACTACAACAGCTACTAGCAGAAAATGAAGTCAAGGTAGCTGTTGCACTAGTGAAAGCTTACAATGCCTATGATGGTCCTGAAAATTGTGAGCAGAAGACAGACCACAAGGTGCAATACCTCTGTCAAAATAACGAATCCACAAGCTGTGCTATTTCAACCTTCAAATATAAGACTTGAGGTGTCAAGACCACAACAAGAAGTTAGTCTAACTCCAGGACTTGCAAGTCTGCTCATCTCCAACCATCTCCCTATACCTGAACCAACTGTATTTACAGGTGATCCTTTAAAGTTCATAGATTGGAAGATATCCTTTATGCCGCTGATCAGAAACCACGCCCTGTGTGCAAAAAAAATGCTGTACTTGAAGAGGTATCTCAGTGATGAAGCTCGTAAGGCATTGGAAGGTTTCTTCTATTGAAATTCAGAAGATGCTTATGTAGATGCTTGGGGAATCCTACAGGACAGGTATGGAAGTCCATTCATTGTTCAAAGAGCTTTCAGAGAAAGGTTGACTAAATGGCCAAAGATCTCAGCAAACGACCCTGTAGCCTTAAGAGGGTTTTAGGATTTCCTTCAAGGCTGTGTGGAGGCCATTCCTCATGTTAAAGGCCTAGCTATTCTAAATGATTGTGAAGAAAACCACAAGCTTCTCAAGAAATTGCCAGAATGGATCGTGCCCAGATGGAGTCACATCATTGTGGACGAGTTAGACAAGTCTCAAGAATACCTAACCTTTGCTCGTTTCACAGAGTTCCTGCAAAAAGAAGCCAAGATTGCACGCAACTCCATTGCCTCTCCCTTCCTCCTCAGTACCAAGACTACAGATGAGAGAATTCCCAAGAGAGCCAAGGCGCTCAACACATGCACTCAAATGAAGCCCTCTACATTCAGCATCCCAGAGATCTCAGCTTCCAGACCAAAAACACATTGCCTAGTCTACAAAGATGAAACACACAGTGTCGCTAAATGTCCGACTTTTGCTCAAAGACCATCAATGAAAAGAAGACCTTCATTCATGAAAACCACCTCTGCTTTGGTTGCTTAAGAAAGGGCCACATTACAAAAAATTGCAAAGGCAGACACACGTGTAGCATATGTAGTCGATGTCATCCAACCTGTTTGCACATACAGAGAAACACTGAGCATGTCAAAACACCAAATGATGATCCAGTAACCACAGGAAATAAGGTAAGCGACAATGTCCCCAAAGTTATGTACCATACAGCGACAAGGCAAACTTCTGCCACATGCATTGTTCCAATTCTGTTGTCAGCTGTGGCGGTGCCTCAGAGAGAAATCCTCACTTATGCCTTACTTGACATGCATGGTGATTCAACCTTTATTTTGGAAGACATGGTATCTAAGCTAAGTGTGAACACCCAACCACTAGAGCTAAAACTCAGCACAATGACAGCTGTTGACACAGTCTGCGAGTGCGTGGCTTTAACTCTAAAGATTAAGTCAAACTCCATCAATCCTATACGAGAGATTTTATTCCAGTAGATAAGTCTCACATCCCCACTAAGGAGACTGCACTCCAGTGGTCATACCTCAAGCACTTGGCAAACAAGTTACAGCCACTTCAAGACTGTGAAGTCGGACTGCTGATCGGTTACGACTGTCCATCAGCACTTGCTCCCTTGGAGGTCGTTACTGGCTCAAAAAATGAACCCTTCACTCGGCTGGAGCATTGTAGGATCAGCAAATCCACATCTTGATAGACAGGGTAGCCAGAGATTCGTACACAGAGTCGCAGTAAAAGAAATGCCAGAAATTACAAAGATAAGTTTGTGTCTCAAGATGACGTTCGCTTTGTGCAGTTTCTCTCTGAAACCATAATGAAAAGGAAAGATGGACACTATGAGATGCCCTTCAAAGATAACAGTCAACCTGCACTACCAAACAATAAGAGACTGACCATTATTCGACTCCAACAGCTAGGTTGAAGGCCAACAAACAGTACCATGAGCACTACACTGCATTAATTGAAGAAACGATCAGAAAGGGTGATGCAGAAACAGCCCCTTCATTGTCAGAGGAAGAAACAGGGTCAGAGGAAGAAACAGGGTTTAGCAGCCCAATAAGCCAGATAAGTTAAGAGTTGTCTTTGATAATTCAGAAAAGTTCCAAGGCGTCTCCTTAAACAACACTTTAATAACCAGTCCCAACCTGATGAATTCTCTAGTGGGAGTTTTCTGTCCTGTCTTGTGTAGCTCCGTCAGAAAGAGCAACGACTAGTGAACATCTCAAACTTAACCCAGGCTCAACACCTGAAGGACAAGTACTTGGCATTCAGTGGTTAATTAGCAATGACACCTTCAGCTTCAGCGTTGACATAAAGGATCAACCCTCAACTCGTCGTGGGGTCCTGTTAGTTGTAGCCTCTCTTTTTGATCCTCTAGGTTTCATTGCTCCCTTGATACTGAGTTGCAAGTGCATTCTCCAAGAGCTTTGCCACAGGGGCATCAGTTGGGATGAAGCACTTCCTGAAAGCTTAGGCCCACGGTGGGAGGCATGGAAGAGGAGTCGGTGGAAAAGGGAATATCTCATGAGCATTTCCAAAATACAAAATTGACACACACCTCAATGTAACCTGAAAGTTAATGACATAGTTATAATCAAAGAAGATATGTCTCCAGGATGCCAGTGGCAGCTAGGACATGTGAGTGAAACTACAATAGAAAAGGATGGTCTAGTTCATCGAGTCAAGGTGTTAGTAGGTCACAGAAGATTGCAAGGTAAGAAGGACCATGCATCAAAACCTTCAATTATTGAACGTCCTAGTAGTTCTCATAGGAAGTAAATAAGTTATTAGTTTTAGTGATACACTAGCACACCACCACACAATAGAGTAGCCAGTTACAGAGGGACCCATAAGCTAAACTGTGTACGACGTTTATAGCGGCCATAGTTATGCTCTGTAAATTATGTATGACTCTTTAAGTTATATTTGTCATAACATAATTTGGTGGTAGTGTAACTGTCCACTTATTGCTTTATATCCTTATTCAGCACTGACTGCCACAGGTGGAATCTTTCTACCTTCCTCTTGTTTCCCTGTGGAATGTTCGATCATCAGACCCCCCTCCTTTCTCTAATTTTGGAGCTAAAAGACTCTCTGTGACTCAGCATTCAGATGCAAAGCAAGTCAGCAACACCTTGTGGGAAGGCGATTGTTACTGAGGTTTTTCTAAAGTTTAAAGTTGCACCCCTTGGCAAGCGGAGGGTGGCATACTGTAAAAGTGCATGTTTATTGAAGTGTATATATTTTTAGACATTGTGTCCATGCTGTTAGTTAAAATATATGTTGTATATAGGCCAACGTTTGGATAAAGGTACTATAGTCCAAATCTCTGTATAGAATTTGTATTCCACAAATGTTCAATGTAATATCGATGTATGCAGATATCTGAACACCACATTTGTAATTCTGTTTGTAATCTTGTGTGCAACCCTTTTGGTGAAACTCTGTAAACAAATGTATTTGTATGTCCTATTACAGTTTTCACGGTGCTTATGGTGCTTATGGTTCACGGTGCTCAATCCTCCTGCACACCTTTGATGCAAAAGAATAAAAGTACTGCACCAGCAAGAAGCTCTCCTTTCATTATTTACTTGATGCCAAACGGGCTGCTACGCCTACTCAACCATATTGGTTTCAATTTGTTTCTTTTATATTTATTACCCAATGATACATAGTGAGAAATGTACCTTTCTAATATTTGTTTGAAGAGTTTCCATCCAAGAGTTTATCCTCAGTGTTTTTTTTCACTAAGGAGTTTGTGCCAGTCAATATGTTGTAGTGCTGCCCAAATCTTATTGAAATTGGATTTTTTTAAATTATACATTTTAGTATGTGCTTTTGCTTTTTTGAGTTTATTTTTAAAAATACCATATTGTGATCACTATTTCCCAAATGCTCCCCTACTTGAATGTTGGTTCAAAAGATCAACATTGTTTATTATAACTAGAGCCAGACAAGCATCCTTTCTAGTTGGTGCTTGTACCAGTTGTGACATGAAGATGTAATTTAACACATTCAAACACCTGATTCAAATCTCCAATAATTAACATGTTCCCCAGATTTGCAGATTTCCCAGTTTGCTCTAACAGCTGTTCTTTCTCATTAATATTTATATTAGGTGGTTTATAACATATCCCAACCAATAATTGATTTCCCTTCATTTGCCCCAAGCAGATATCTACCCATAAAGCTTCCACATTTTCCTTGTCACACTCCACATGCCTAAGATTTGACTTTAAGTCATGGTGGACATGCAAACATACCCCATCATCCTTCTTGTTTTTCCTATCTTTCCTAAATAGTGTGTGTGAAGAAACTACACCTTTGTTTTGTTAACGTTTTTGTTTCCTTGTTGGGTAGATAAAACTACTAAACACCAACCACAGTATGTTCCAGAGGAATTCCGCCGGAATATGTCACGGTAAACTCCTTGCATGGGGACTTGCATATAAACCGGCCAGTTGGCCTGAATAAATTAATTTGTGTTGTACTCTTAATCTAGTTTAGGCTGATGTTTGGGTATATGTCTGATTGCTTGGAGAATTTACTTGGATGCTGCATTTTGTTCTGGAGAACGTTCGAATCAACACCTGAACTGCGAGCTATAATCACTCAGCTTTTAGCAGTTCGGGAGGAAAATAAACAGGTATCTGAAATATCAGCGATGTTAACAACAAAAAAATAAAAAGTGTAGATACACTGGAAACAGAGATGGGTCTGTTAGCTAATGAAGACCAGGAAAAGGCAGACATTTTAAATAACTATTTTTCTTCAGTATATTTTAATGAGGATCCTATGACAAGAGATATGCAAATAATTGCTGCAAAAAACTTGCAGATAACTTTGTGATTGGATGACTCGACACAAGGTGCTACAGCAGTTAAAGAAAATTAATGTAAATAAAGCTCTGAGGCCTGATGGTATTCACCCATGAGTACTTAAGGAGCTAAGTGGGGAAATATGTGAACTACTGTATTTAATTTTTCAAGATTCTTTTGTTTCAGGTATTGTACCGGAGGTTTGGAGGAAGGCAGATGTTGTTCCTATATTTAAAAATAGTTCAAAATCCTTTCCTGGAAATTATAGACCTGTGAGCTTAACTTCTGTGACTGTGAAAATATTTGAACAGCTATTAAGGGATAATATTCAGGAA